TTACAGTGAGCAGTTTAACAGCGACTCCTTCGCCTAAGGTGAACAAAAAGCTCATTAAAATATACTAGGAACATAAAAGGAGAACCCGCGTGCAGTTGATCAAAATAAACAACAGAAATCGGCATCCGGTGCAAAGCTGTGGCGATTCGGTTAGGTTTACATGATTTGGTGATGAGGCCCGATTGCTGGACAGAGAAGACACTGGCTCAGACCCTCACTCACCTTAGCAACAAGGATCAGATGTTATCCCGGGGGGGGGCAAGAAGTTCTAATTACCATGGTTGTTGGATGAAATTCGCTGTAGCCCGTAACAGCCGACGGCGAGGAACAAGGATCGGTTTGATCAACTGTCCAATGTTCTAACTGTTACCACAAGTGAGGTTCGTGTGTAAGATCCTGAGCTCAGTCCGCCATCGACCAGATTGAAACCGCTGTATTTATTGTACTTCCCAGGTCTTAGGTTCACCTTTTATCTTATAAGCAACAAACTAAGTGAAGTAGAAATGTTTGCGATAACTGACAAAGAGCACTGGACATCAGTTTCCTCCTGTTTGAGACTCGTCGACAGTGCGTACTTTTCATGTCCCTGTCAGGACTCGAACCGCGAGCCTTCGGGTTGGGACTTCAAATCGTTACCCCTGAGCTACACGGCCGACGAGCATCATCTTGGGCGAATGGCCCAATCGCGGTTCGAGTATTGACAGGGACACAAAAAGTACGCACTGATGACGAATCTCAAACGAGACGAAACAGCTGTCCAGTGCTCTTTGCCAGTTATCACAAACGTTTCCACCGCATTTAAATGCATATAAACAGTGGGGAATTGAAGATCTCCCAAGGAGTGGAACCCACACCGAAGAACAACAGTGTTTGATGCCTGTGAAAAATCGAATGAGGTAATCCAAACATTCACCGTATAAACTAAGTGAAGGTTTGGAAGTTTACTTACGGTACAATCATTGTACAGGAAAACCGGATTCGTGAGAATAATGTGTAGAATATGCTACGAAGTGGCACACCCAAGCATGTGCATTTGTGTCCATAACCGGCTAACAGCATAGGGTCAGATGTAAAGGGCTTTGAAAATGCTGAAAAAGAGGTGAATAATAAGTTGCCGTGGACTGGCAACAACAAGTGGTAGGACGAGGGGGGAGAATGAGTAATCAGAGCTACAACGAGCAAAACACCAAGCAAAACCTGTGTATGACAGTGATCATTTTCCCGACATACGGGAAAAAACTGCATTGAATGAAACATGAAATTTACTTCTACCGGGATCCTTATTAGCATTTTACAGTTAGATGTGACAGCGTCTTCAGTTATTGTATTTTAAAGTTATCGCGTATCATCTGGATACAATTCCGTATTGCGGGAAATTGTTTTTCAACACACGTCTTCATAGACAGTGACCAAAGGTCCATCGCGCACATGTTAATATTACATAATCCAACTTGTTGAATCATGAAAAATAGAAGAACGATGTGAGACGTCCGGTAAAGTGGAAAAGTAAACAAACGATTGTGAAATATCTTCTCGACTGACCATAAGGAAAACACGAATGGCACTAATCCAGGCATCGGTTTCGGCTATAATCAATCAAAACCACGTGATGGATTTGTAGGTAAAAGCTCCACAGAAAATTACCTATCATTCATAACTAAATAAAATACTGGAGGTGCAAGATTAAAAAAACCATTTGATAAACAAAAAGTAATTATTCTGATAAATCCATTAACTCAATTTCTTCGCAAGCAAAGTGCAACCATATTCGAACAACAGAAACGTTTTCGGAATGCACCCGGAATTGCTTTTCGGAATCTGGTTCAACTCTGTGATTGAACCAACCAAGATATAGAG